TGCCCCCGAAATTTCCCATTTAATCTCTTGATTTGATGTTGTGAATTTGATCACATGTGAAGAGTTCTTAGAAGAGTATAATTACAAGGCAGACATTTTGTCTGATACGATAAATGATTGTCAAGTTATAAGAAGACTTAGGGGATGTTTTTGTTTTAAGATTTAAAGATTTTCCTCAGGGAAAAGTTTCAAGGGATTATCTAACTTGCTTAGCTCTAGAAAGCTAGACTTTATGAAACTTTGAAGTTCTGTTCTTCATTTTCTCCCTTCTGACTCTTTAGAGAGTCACTGATCAAAATGCTCACTTGTGGTAACCATATGACATTCTGGCTTCGTGGTGAAAGAAGCAGTTGCCCATGCTCAGGAGGGAATTAGCCACACATTCTATTTCCTCTTCCTTTTCCTTATTTCTTTCTCCTATTCCTCTGTAGCTCTAGGTGAATAGAGAGATGTTGTCATGGCTTAGATGGCCACGTGGAAGATTTTAAGACCACATTATTGGACCCATGTCTGCAAACTCTGACCCTATGGGAGCTCTGGTGATCCACTGGATAGGGAGTTGTGCTACCAACCCAAAGGGGGGTGGTTTTAATCCCCCTGAATCTATTCTGAGGGAGAAAGATGTGCAATCCCCTCCCATATAATTTACAGTCTATATAAACCTGCTGGAGGGTCAGCTATGAGTTGACTCTGAATCAATGGCAATGAGTGAGAGAGTGAAGGAAGACCCTAAACCTATGAACCAAAGGTCTAACTCCCATAAGGTATTTGGTTATACTCAGAAGCTATTCTTTTTGCTGTTAGTGCAAATATGTCTAACACTCAACTTTTGTCATTTCTACTTTTAACAGGTGTGCAACAGTTTATTGACAGTAATTTTAACACTTGGCTATGAAGCCCTACCCTTAATGGCGACCCTACTCTCAATCAATGACATTTTCCCCATCATAATTAACCTCCATTTTCCTTTCCACCCCCAGCCCTGATAACTACTCTGTGAGCTATGTATTTGCCTTTTCTTATGGTTTTCCCCATAATATTTTTAATTGGTTTGTTTACAAAGTTCATATACATTGTTTCACACTGTTCTTCATCAATACTGTATTTTATAAAATTAATCACCATTGGAATTCCAGTGATGTAGTGTGTTATGTGTCAGTCTTCCAATTGAAAGGACAGTGCTTCAACTCTACTAGGTACTTTGTGGAGAAAGATGCACATTCTCCTCCTGTAGAAATGTACAGCTGTGGAGACCCAGTAGAAAAGTGGCTATAACCTGGAATCAGCTTAATGGAAGTGAGTTTGCTTTTGTTTCGGTTGTCTTTGAAATTAGTGAGATCATAGAATATTTGTCCTATTGTAACTGTCTTGTTTCAATCTGCATAATGTCTTCAAGCTCCGTTCATACTAAGCGTGTGTTAAGATTTCATTTCTCCTACTGGCTGAGAAGTATCCCATTGTATGCATACATCACATTTGGCTTATCCATTCATCTGTGAATGGTGGAAAGAGTATCACCATTTCATTGTGACTAATACAGAGGTGAATGTTGGTGTAAAAGTCTCTGCTTTCAATCTTTGAGCATATATTTAGGGGAGGAATTGCTAGGTCACATGTTAGTCCCATTTTAAGAACTGAGGCACTCAAAACTCTAACTCATTGGGGAGTTGGAATTCATAACTGACCTTCTGGTTGGTTTTCTGAGGCTGTAAATCACATAGGTGGAAATTGAACACTCTTTTCACAATGGTAATCCCATTTTGCACTCCCACCAGCAATGGGTAAGGATTCTTGTTTCCTATATCCTTGCCAATATTTATTTCCTGTTTTGGTTGGTTTTCACTCTTAGCCATCGTAGTGGGAAGGAAATGATAACCCACTGTGATTCTGGTTTGTAAATCTCTGATGGCTAATGACAATAAGCATTTTTTGGTATGTTTATTGACCATTAGAATGTCTTTTTTGGTGAAATTGTCTTTTTACTTTTTTTTGGTAATTATTTGATGAACAAAAGCTCAAATTTTTATGTTTGTTGTTGTTAGGTGCCATGGAGAGTCTCCTAAGAGACAATGACTCACAGCGACCCTGAGAACAACATATCAGAACCCTGTCCGATCCTGTGCCAGCTATCTCATCACGTCTGAGGTACTTGAGCTCACTGCTGCAGTGTTGAGCCAATCCAGATGGCTGAGGGTCTTCCTTTCTTTCTCTGGCCTTTCTCAGCATAATGTCTTTGTCTAAGGCCTGCACCTCCTGACCACGTGCCCCCAAAATGTGAGATCAAGTTTCATCATCCTCAAATTTTTATGAAGTTCTGTTTATGTATTTTGACTTTTGTGGTTTGAGCTTTTGCTGCTTTATTGGATAATCTATAACTAAAAACATTAAAACAGTGTTCCCCGTGCATTTTCTTATAAGATATATGGTTTTTATTTTTCACATTCAGGTCCCTAATCCATTTTTAATCTGTTTTTATATATAATAGGAGGCATGGATGCTGTGTCATTTTTCTACATGTGGAAATCCAATTTTTCCAGCATCCATTATTGAAGAAACTCTTCCCAATCACAGGGATTTAATACCTTTGTCAAAAATCAATTGACTAGGCAAGCTCTGGTGGCCTAGTGGCAAGAAGCTGCACTGCAATCCACCAGATGCTCTTGCTGGAGAAGGAAGGACAAAATCCTCCTGTACCAGTCAGATCGGATTTGACGGTACACACACAAAAATAATAAAATAAAATTTAAAAAAATCAATTGACCATAGATGTTTGGTTTTATTTCTGGACTCTCACTCCTATTCTTTTTTTCCATGCCTGTATTGTTATACCAGTACCAGGCTGTTTTGCTTATTATAGTGGCCTCTTTCCCTGTTTCTCTGTGTTGCCAAGTCAAAACTTATGCAAAGCTGACCCTTTATTGGGTTTCCAAGGCTATAAGCCACATGGGAGGAGATTCTTTATCTTTATTCTTTAGGGCTGCTGATGGATTTGAACCACCAGAGAGAACTGGTCTTTGGATTAACAAAACAATTTGCTATGAAATAGGGAGTTCTGGTGGCCTAGTGGCAAGAAGCTATGCTGCAATCCTGAAGGCATGCAGCTCAAATCCACCAGCTGCTCTGCAATAGAAGGGTGGGAAATCTCCTCGCATGAGATTAACTGCCTCTGAAAACCTGCTGGAGGGACAGTTGTAGGTCAGTTGCAACTAGATGGTACACAAGACAACAACATGCCACCAGAGCTCCCTGTAGTTATACAGTACATTTTAAAATCAGGAAGTGTCAGTCTTCCTACTTTCTTTTCTTTTAACCTTATTTTAGATATTCAGGCTTTCTTGCCACTCATTGGAGTTGACAGTTGGTTTTTCTATTCTTATAAAGAAAGCTGTTGGAATTTTGATTAGGATTACTTTGAATCTATAGGTCTATTTGAATAGTATTGACATCTTAACCATGCTGTCTTTCAGTCCATGAATATGGAACACCTTTCCATTTATTTAAGTCTTCTTTAATCTTATTTAACAGTGTCTTATGATTTTTACTGTACAAATCCTTCACATCCCTAGTTAGATTTATTCCTAGATTATTTGTTTTCTCCAAACCTATTCAGTCTTATGCTGAGCTGAACTTTATGATGAAGAATGTGGCATTAGGATAGGAGCAAGACTCATCAACATCCTGTATTATGCAGATGACATAACTTTGGTTGCTGGAAGTAAGGAGGACTTAAACACTTACTGCAGAAGATTACAGACAACAGTCTTCCATATGGATACATGTCAACATCAAGAAAACAAAAATCCTCACCTCTCGGCCAATAGGCAACATAATGATCAGTGAAGACAAGATTGAAACTGACAACAATTTCATCTTACTTGGATCCACAAATAACATTTTTGGTACTAGAAGTCAAGAAATAAAAATATTTTAGTGAAATCTTCAAAAACTATCCACAGTGGGAAAATCTGCTTTCAGGGACTTGTTCAAGTCTTTCAGAGCAATGATGTTAATTTGAAGACCAAGATGCAGATGGTCTTCTCAGTTACTTGTTATACAACTGTAAGCCAGGAAATTACTAAGGATGAAAGAAGAAGAATTAATGCCTTTAAGTTGTGGTATTGGAGAACAATACTGAATATCCCATGAACAGCCAAAGAACAGACACACTTTGTCTTAGAGAAAGTGTAACTAGTGTGCTCATTGGAGGCAAGAATGGTCACATACTTTAGGCATCTTATTAGGAAGGGTCAGGCCTTGTAGAGAGGCATCATGCTTGAAAAGGTGAAGAGTCAATATAAACAAGGAAGATCTGCAACAAGATGGATTGGCACAGTAACTGTTAAAATGGGCTCAAGTATACTTGAGATAGTGAAGATAGCACAAGAGAGGCCAAGGTTCAAATCTGTTGCTCATAGGTTGCTATGAGTTATAGTTGATAACTCATTTTATTGTTAGGTGCTATTGTAAATGGAATTACTTACTTAGCTTTCCTACTTTGGAGTAAAGAAAGATTTTATACCCACCGTGAGCATGTTGTGGTGGTTGTGTACCATCGAGTCAGAACTGACCTATCGCTGATCCTCCAGCGGGTTAATCACAAGAGAGGAGATTGTCCATATCCTCCCGCAGAGCAGCTGGGGGATGACGACTGCTCGCCTTCAGGATTGCAGAGCAGCTTCTTACCACTAGGCCACCCACCAGAGCTCCGCAGTGAGCAGACTCTTGGATAAAAAGGCATACTTGACAAAAAAAGAAAAGAATACCCAATATTTAAAAAAAAAAAAATTAAAAAGTCTGCTTGTAGGGAGCTCTGGTGGCCTAGTGGCAAGAAGCTGCACTGCAATCCCAAAACCACCAAATGCTCCTCTGGAGACGAAGGGGCAGCCTCTTCTTGTGCCAGTTGGGTCCAACTCGACTGTACACAACAAGGGTGGGGGGGAAAGCATGCTTGAGACCTCTGACCAGAATACTAAAGAAACCATGAGAAAATAGTTCTTTACCTCCCCATAGGTGATCCAGACAATTTTGACATCTTTCCCGAAATCTGAAACATCCTGACAAATTCTGGCCCAGTCGTTCACATGGCCCTCTGCTAGTCACAGGTAAAGTCAGTCCTGACATCAGGCCTCCTTGGTGGGGGTCTGCAAGGGACAAAACATTTTAAACAGTTATGCCATTAAGGTTTAAAGAAGTGCTTTAAAGAAGTGGATACAATGTTCTTTGCTTTTTACTAGGGCTTTCAAATTTTTTAACTAGTGCAAGGATTCTGGGGCTTCGCCTGACATACTTTGGACATGTTGTAAGGAGAGACAGGTCTTTGGAGAGGGACATCATGCTGGGCAGAGTGGAGGGACAGCGCAGGAGGGGAAGACCCTCTATGAGGTGGATTGATTCAGTGACTGGGGTAATCGGGATGGATGTGTCAGAGGCAGTGAGATTGACACAGGATAGAGCAGGGTTTAGGACTGTTGTACATAGGGTCGCTATGAGTCGCAAACGACTCCACGGCACATAACAACAACAACATTAAAACATAGGAATTACCTATTAGTGCATCCATTTGCTCAATTTGACATATCTATTAAAAATTGTATATATTTTTATCCCAGCAATTTTATCATTAGAAATTATTATTAGTACACCTACCCACCACTATATCTTAATGCATATAATTTTATTTCCAGAGAGCATCATGATAATTTTAAACTTTATTTTTACTTTACTGTTGCTGAGAATGTGCACAACAAAACATAAAATTCTCCATTTTTTCCTAGATAATAATTTTTTTGCACACAAGTCAATAAAAATATTTAATAAAAAGAGTTGAAATGGAATCAATTGAAAAGATTTAAAATACTTGAGCACAACAAGATAAAGGTAAACAATTAAATTGAAAAATGGGCACAGGATATGAACA